TTGGTCTGGGACGAGTAAAGTTCTGTTTGAGACAAATCATAAATTACAGCTGCTAGAGAGCTGTTTTTCTCAAGTCACTAACCATTAAGCTGCTTGTGTGGTAGAATGGCAAAATGGTAAAATATCAAAATGTTAAATCGTAAAAACATTTAATTGTTGAAATGTTAAAATGTTAAATGTTGAATGTTAATTCTTAAATGTTAAACTGTTAAAATGTCAAAATGTCAAAATGTTAAATGTTTAATTGTTAAAATGTCCAAATGTTAAAATGGCTAAATGTTTAAATGTTTAAATATTAGAATTCTAAATTCTCAAAATGAAGCTTCCTATCTACCTCACATTTCTCTCCTGCATTCAAACCTTCATTACATAGTGATTACATGATCCAGTAAAAGTTTAAGCCTTTCACTCATGTTTGCACAAGCATTAGCAGATCAGGTTTCAGGTATCACACACCGTCTAATTGGACTTAGCAACAATCCACCCTCTAAGTCATTCCTCTTTGTTAACCGTTTAAGATTCTCTCCAAGATTGTTGTATTTGTTTTTATGAATTCCTTGCTGTGTCATTCCTGTTTGTGGTCCTGTTTGTGTCAGTGCATATTTCTTAATCCCTCTTGAAAAAGAGATCTTAAATGAAGATCAAACAACAAAATAAATCAAATGTGTAGTTAAATTTAAGGGTACACACGTGGACCAAAGCACTCCATAATGATGTCAGTTGTTTGCCTCGGGGCCACAAGCCGCGAGCTCTACCAGGTTTAAGTTTAGCAGCTTCCAGAAAACCTCCACAAACCCTCCACAAGACACTGAATCACTCTGTTATTGTTTGTGGTCACTCAACTGCATCGAGGACAATGTAGAACAGGGTCGAAGAGTCTTTAGAAAATAGACACCTCACTGTGCTTCATTTCTTTAAATCTCATATTCTAGAGAAAGAAGATGTCATATCAGGAGTTCACCCGTGACACACAGGTGACAAATACAGTTTGTCAACAAGTCCGTTTTTCTTTGCTCTAATTGGCTCATGATAATCTGAGGGACTGATAAAAAGATCACAGAACAACTGCTGTGTAGTCCTTCTCGGCACATAACTTTTGAAGGAAGAACCAAAATAAAAGGTATGAGATTTAAGATTTAAAATGATAAAAATACTGAAATAGACATTTTCTAACTAACATAACACGCATGTTACTAAAAATCTACAGAATTTATAAATAAGCTGAATATACTCTGGTCTTTTTTAAAGGTATTTAGACCTCGAGATGAAGCTTCTACTCCTCAAAACAGCACTTATAGCCACCATCTGCTATGTGAGTATCTAGTATCTATCTAACGATCTCTCTCTCTCTCTATCTATCTGTCTGTCTGTCTATCTATCTATCTATCTAGCTATCTATCAATCTATCTATCTGTCTTTCTATCTATCTATCTATCTATCTATCTATCTATCTATCTATCTATCTATCTATCTATCTATCTATCTATCTATCTAT